TCAGAGCGGTTTACAACAGTTTAGATATACAGAATACAAAATCATTACGCATTTAAAAACAATTACTTGCATTATATTGCATTACATTACGATATTATAAATATTACATGTATATACAATATATTATATTATAACATATTATTAGAATAGCACAGGAGACAAGGTGGAACTGTCCCCTGGTCCCCTCTCTCTTCACTCTGGCCCAGAGCGGCAGTTGTTGCTGGGGGGAGGGATCCCCAAGTGATGACATATGCAGGAGACAAGATGGAACTGTCCCCTGGTCCCCTCTCTCTTCACTCTGGCCCAGAGCGGCAGTTGGGTGCTGGGGGGAGGGATCCCCAATGGATGTTTTAGCCTACAACTCCCAGAAATCCCAGCCAGTTTACTAGCTGTTAGGATTTCAGGGAGTTGAAAGCCAAAACATCTGGAGACCCACACATTGAGAACCACTGGCTTACACTATGTAACATGATTTTTGTTCCTGGGTTATAAATGTAATTCCTAATTGATTCTGTCATAAAAACATGGAAAAGGTTTATTAAAACTGCAAAAACTTTGTTTTTGTGGGACATGCTGCAGCACATTTCACTCTAGTTTTTCAATGAATACCTCATAAAGTCTCAACCAATTTGGCATACTTTGTGACAGCCACAAAAACAAAGTTTCTGAAGTAGAACAACTACTTTCAAAGTAAGTACCACACAATTAAACAAGAAACAACACTTTCAAACCAGAAACAGAACATTTTTCAAAATTTGTTACATGGTGTTATGGGAGTTGCAGCTCAAGACATCTGATCTGTTGAGAGTTCTCTATGCCTGTTGCAGCATCAGTGCTCCTCAAACCATTCATCTGATGTCTTTTCAAGTCTTCAAAGCATGTCCACTGTAAAGAACCTTTCATGCTGTATTGTTCTCAGGGTGTTTTACACCAGTGCTGGCAAATAAATGCTTTCAGCTATGGCCTTTTTTTTAGCATCATAGGAGAAATAGCAAAGGATCACTGGATTTGGTCATGTGCAATTGTATAGTCCACATGCCACGGGGTAAACATTTATGAATCTATACTAAAAACATCACGATCCCATGACTCCTCATGCAGAACGCATTCACCCATATCCTCATACACAGCCTCTCCATTAATATTTTCAAGTGTAGCTATTTAATTCTAAGAATGTCATTACTGCTGAGTCAAAGCTTCAGGCTGCTAATTATGTGCTGCTTCTGTGAAAGGGAACTCTTTATATTGATTTCATGCGTCACCCACACTAGGAAATTAGTTTTTTGAAGGCAAATTGGAAGTGGTGCTATGCCAAATAGCTTGACTTCAGTGGAAACAGGTAAGCTCATATCTGAGGAATTATATGACAGGTGGTATTATTAACGCAAAGAGGAAAAAAGTCTTGTGAAGGCATTCATTAAACAGGAAATATATTTGCAGTAAACTCAAACTTCCAAAGAGACCATTCAAGAAGCAAAACCCTCTCCTTCCTCATGTCTTGGGGGGAGAAACTGGACGATGGGATCTGTTTCAGTCGAACGAACAAGCTGCTACTGGAGATGAGCACACTAGCTCAAATCCACTGTTTGCATAAGATACCCTGAAATCTCTGCAAAGTCATCCCATAGACCAGGGAAGCATTGTCTCTCCAAGTGTTGGGAACTACAATTTCCAAAAGCCCTTGCCACTGATCATGAACCCATGGGGAAGATCATCCGGAGTTTCGGGGTTACGGTGTCATCTGTACATGGATGATGTCCAACTCTGTCACCCTTTTCCAGCTCCTAAGGAGGCTGTTCAGATCCTGAACCGGTGCTTGGCAGCTGTGTTGTACTGGATGAGGGTGAACAAATAAAAATTTAATATAGAGAAGATTGAGGTCCTCCTGGTCAGCCGAAAAGCCAAACAGGACATAGGGTTACAGCCTGTGCTGGATGGGATTATACTCCCCCTGAAAACACAGATTTGCAGCTTGGAAGGGATCCTGGATTCATCGCTGTGCCTGGAACTCCAGGTTTGGGTGGCAGCCAGGAGAGCTTTTACACAATTAAAACTTGTGTGCCAGCTACACCCATACCTTGGGAAGTCTGACCATGGTGGTCCATGTTCTTATTGCATCCTGAATAGATGACTGCAATGTGCTCTATGTGGAGTTGCCTTTGAAAACAGTTTGGAAGCTTCAAGTAGTCCAAATTACTCACCAAAGCAGCGTACAGGGAGCATGCCACCTCCCTGTTACATCAGCTCCACTGGCCGCCAGTCTGCTACCGAGCACAATTAAAAGTGCTGGCTTTAGCCTAAATGGTTCTTGCCCAGCTTACTTGTCCAAACGTATCTCCCTCTATGACCCACCTTAGAGGTTAAGATCATCAGGGGAGGCCCTGCTCTCGATCCCACCACCCTTACGAGTGCGATTGATGGGGACAAGAGGCAGGGCCTTCTCCATAATGGCCCAGTCTGTGGAACTCCCTAATGAAATCAGTCAGCCCCCTCCTTCCTATCCTTTAGGAAAAAACTTAAATCATAGTTGTGGGACCAAGCATTTGAGCAGCAAACACAGTGATAACAATGTAAATGACTTATGTGATTGACAATGGACAGACTTTGGATTGTGATTTTGGATAAAAACAAGTCCATTGTTTTTAAATGGATGTTTATAATTGATGTTTTTTTTAAATAGGAACACAGAGCTTCAAAACAAATAGAGGTACAAAGGGTTTCCACTAGTAACCAAACTCAACATAATAATAGGGGAAAGGTATGCGGATTATACAAATGAATTGAGAGCACTCCATATGTCTATTGGGTGCTCAATAAACATATGGGGTAATGAAAGAGATCTTTTAAGATACTTTTAAGATACTTCAGTCTATTAATTAACTATCAATTTATTGATATCCTTCATTTCATATGTATTATTTGTATTAAAGGCTAGATAAACTGCATAAAGGAAAGCCTATTGCAAGTGTTACTGTTTAAAATCCCACAGGTTTCTATGCTTACAACCGAATAAAATGGCTATTCCTCTAGAATTTGAGATATTCTTTAAAACTAAGCCAGTGGGTGTTTTATAGCATAACTAAAGAAATGAATGGTTAAATAAATAATAGAAACCTCTAGAATTTGTAAGATTTGCAAAGGGCTTTTCTCTGGTCATTAATAGTTCACTTACCACAAAATCCAAGAGAAGGCTAATTTAATCAAAACCTATGTGACTCTCACTGATCTATTGGGACTATTCTAGTTGTGAGTAATAATTGGATTTAGCTGTCAGATTTTAGAGGGAAGGAGTGGTCATTAAATGTTTACCATTCAAATGATATTTAATCAAAAATTAATTCCAGCTTTTTCATACTTCACTAGTCACACATAAATTCAAAATTATCCATCTGAAGAATTGCAAGCCAAATGTGAAGAATTGGCAAGGCCGATTGAAGTCTAGTGTATATTAATTTTTCCTAACCTTTTTATGGCTTTTATTTTAAAATGAGCACCATGGCAAGTTGAACAATTATACATTTTTTCACAATATCCACCTATTTATAGAACAGATTTCTGGCCATGTCAAAATGATTTCTCCCATCTATCAGGTAGGCCCGATTCTCTGCATCAGTTCATGCAGTTGGTTTAAATGTACTAATGCACTTCAAATCTAACACAATGTAGAAAAAAGCCTTATGAAAGTGATCAGAAGCAGCCATCATGTAATAAATGCATAATCAAATAATGATTTTAAAAGATAAAATAAATTAGTTTTTAACACTGTGTACTTAGTGCATTTAGTCTTCCTTTGATGTATCAATTATGTTATGTTTTTCGTTCAGTGTAAAGACACTTTACCGCCTTTCTTCACTTCTGCTTGTGAAAAACTGAAATTACTAGACTCTGAATCATTATTGGATTTTCTTTTTTAGGTCTATTTATCTTTTTTTTAAAAAAAGAACCTTGATCAATTATTTGGGAGCTGGAGACCACTGAAATTAGCCTCCCTGACAAAGCTTGGAAAAATTAAGATTTTTCTTAAGTCCATCAGTCACAACATGAACGGGATGAAGGATTGATGAGTATCATATGGGTTGATGTCACTTCCTATATATCAGCAAAAAGAATAGACACCTGTATAACACAGGGAGGAATGCAAGCATCTATCAGTGATTTGATTTATAATAGATATGCAATGTAATAGCTATATCTCAGTTACTCCAATAGGGTTGGGGGATTCTGGGAATTTTCATTCCCCAAAATAAACCATTTCAAGCTCTGCTTCTTAGGAACAGCTCTGTAAACCAATGCAAATATATATGCTATGATGGGAGATCCCTAGAAAACTGCTGAACTGAAGCTTGAGGGCCCATCCAGACAGGCCTTAAAACCAAGACCCGAATGAATTAAACATCTGGTAAGATCTGGATCTTACATAAGATCCGGGTCTTACCAGGTGGGTCCTGTGTGGACTGGGCTCGAGGACCCCGTCACATAATCCCCTGGCCCAAACCACACAGCCATCTCTGTTTTTCAGGCTCCATGGGCCCAAAAAACCAACAGGCACCCCCCCAACCCCAAAATAAGCCCTTAAAAGTTTTTTTAAATTACCCGAAGTGACACACCAGGAGAGGACGGGTGAGGAGGGATTTTCCTCCTCGTGCACCCCCCCCCCAAGTCTCCTGGCACGTCTTTTTCCTCGTGCCAGGAGGGTGTGAGGGGGGAGATAATGGCAGCCAGATTCTTAAACCCACTCCGGTGCGCATTTAAGTCCTGTGGGAAGCGCCCTGAGTAGATACGCATATCACTGTAGTATGTCCATTGACATCCTTACAGGAGATTTGTATATACATTGAGAGGCACTGAAAGCAGGAAATATTTACAAGCAGTTCTTTATTTGTTTAGCAGTATGGGTTAAATATTATTCGACCCAATATAAATGCAGAGATGTCAACTCCTTCTTTCAAGTACCCCACATAAGCAGCATCTTTCTCTTTGCAAACTCTGCCACTCATTATCTAGTTAGAATTTATAGAAGCTTTCTTGAGTAAGGAAGTCATCATATCAACAACATCCTTCCTGGGGTTTTCTTCTAAATCTGTTTTCACAGCACCGAGCTCTGCCAACTTCCATTCAAGTTCTGCAGCAAAAAAAAGGGTGTTCAGATAAATGAGAGAAATTGTTTATTTAATACATACATATTCCACTTTTTGATTTTGCAGAACAAAAATGAGTGTAGATGCATACAAGGGCTACAGAATGCCAGGCTGGTACAGTGTTCCCTCACTACTTCGCAATTCGCTTTTCGTGGACTCGCTGTTTTGCGGTTTTTCAAGAAATACAGTAATGTATATATTTACACTGGAGCTGTTCCTCTTCTTACCAGGTGTATTGTGGGAGATGCCAGCCTGGGAAGCCGCCTCCCACAGGTGCTCCACTCACACAGTTCCTCCTCTTCACCTGCTTTCTCCTCCTCCTCTTCCTCACTCTCACCAGCAGATGGGAGCCCTCCCAGGTTGAAAGCGGGAGAAGGAAGGAAGGGAAGGATGATGGACAGGTCTAGAGGGGTGAATGGCAGGTGGATCGGGAGGGTGGGAGGAGGGGGACCCATATGACATCACGAGACCAACCCGGTGCAGGGAAAAAAGGTGGGAGAGGTGTCAAGCTTGAGATTGTAAATATTTATAGATATAGATATAACATCCCTACTTCACAGATTTTCATTTATTGTGGGTGGTCCCGGAACGTAACACCCATGATAAGTGAGGGAACACTGTAAAGCCAAATCATATTAGAATAGGGACAGGGAACATTTCACCCTACAGATATTTTGGGTAATCAGTTCTATCAGCATCACTTAGTTTTTTAAGTGGTAAGGAACTGTAGAATTTGTAGTCCAAAACCTCAAGAGGGTTCACATTTTCTAAATACGCAGACATCCTGCCTGTTGTTCTTGGGTCATATGTTCTAAATTCTCAGAGTTGGGAATTAAGTGGCCCTACAGATAATGTTGGGCTTCAACTCACACTGTTTTTCACCACAGGTTACATTGGCTTCTAGCATTTATTATCTAACAATATTTGAAGGGTGATGTGACTCCCAATCCCACTCTAATTCCAAGAATTGTTGGTTGCCCTTGATTTGTCCCCTATGTTACATGGGTCACAGCATTCAGAGCAGCAGAAGACTATTACAAGGGGAGAGATGGCATGTCTACACAAGGACTCTGGAAAGGAAAATTATAAAAGAAGAAAGAGTGGACAGAAAATTAGAAGTAAATCTATCCAAGAGAAAGCCAAAGTCCATGTGGTTTTGAAACCCTCAGACTTTTTTTGCTTGGAGTTCACTAAAACATTTTTAACATTACCTTCAGCTGTAATTTGCATTCCTCCACATTCTGTGATTCCAATCAACTTGCCCTTTATTTCTCCATTTTTATATACAAATAATGTAGGTAAACAGCTGTCATGGTAGTTTTCAATACAGCTGTTAGCGATGGATTTAAGAAACTTGGTTTCAGGAAACTTTGTAGCCAGTATGCTGAGGTGTCTATTAATCAATAAACACATGGGAATGCTAAAAATAAAAAAATGTCCAAAAGAGAAATCATGTTTGATCATTAAACAGTAACAAATAGAACATTTTATATTCTAATAGTGATTCGCCATCAATTCAAACATGGAGTCTTATATCAGAAGTACCTCAGATTATCATCAAATTAACAGTTGGGCCTTATCCCATTTTTCCTTGTTAAATTCAGCATATATTAGTCAAAGAGAAGGGAAATATTTTACTTTCTTGGACTATAGCTCCCAGAAGTCAGTGACCATGATTGGTGGGAGGAAGGGAGAAATTTGGGGAGTTGTAGTCCAAACAATATGAAGCAGAAATTTCAAATGACTAAATTTGGGGTATAATCACAAATTCCAAACCATTACCAGACTTGAACACAAATAATATTTTATAAGCCAGGTGCTGCATCCACAGATGTAACAATCCATAGCTTGATTTTTTTTAAATGCCTCTTTATATAAAAGGCAGCATTTTTTCTGTATAATTGTATATAAAGGGACCTGGGCATCCATGGAATAAACTCCCAGTAAATACTAAGGGTCCAGTGTGAATGCGTGTGAGTGTGTGTGTGTGTATTTACACATGCGTGCACACACATATGCTGAATCTCATAACTACAATTGAATCAAAGCATTTTCCTCAAAGGATTTCTTTTGTAAGCTCAGACCACATTTCCATCATTTGGTCTCCTTATTTTGTGATATCAGTTTCCTCAAGAACCATGGGTTCGGAGACCAGTGTGTCAAGCTTTCCAGAAGGGCAGATGAGACACAGGCAGGTTGAAGGCAAAATCAGAGGCCTTATTCTTGTTGTGGCCCAGCTGTCTGTTCAACAATAAGTATGAAGTTTATTAAGAAAAGAGTATATAATAGAAAAGGCAAGTAATAATCCAAAAGTCATACCAAAATAATCAGAATAGGCAATCACCAAGGTACATTCCAAATCCAGACTTTTAAAGCATTTTCAAAGTAACATCCATAAATTTGATATTCTTGGACATAACAATTGGCATTTACAAACTCTGAACATGAATCCTAAAATCCCAAAATATAAAAACAAGAAAGTGTCCAAGGATTTCAAAACTCAAACCAAGAACCAAGGCTTGAAAACTTGAACAAGGAACTATAATCCAAAAACTTGAAAACTTGAACAAAAAACTGTAATCCAATTGAGAGATGCTAATCTTAAACAGGAAAGCAAGGCACAGAATCAACGGCAAGAACTCTTAACATAGAGCCCCCAAAACAGGCAACTTGACACATGAAAATCCAACATTGCTCTCACAATGAACATCGTTGCAGATCGCTTAAGAATTCTAATTTTTATCCATGACATCACTCCTTCTCACACCTGGGTTCCCTTTGCTTATTTTTCAGCCTCTGGGAAAAATGTAGTTGTCTCTGCTTTGCACTATCTCTTTGGAACTGTAATCGTTGAGTTATAGGCAGTCACCCTCTCCTCCACATTCCTTTCAGAGTCCATCCGTGGCAGATTCTCATGAGAACTACATTTTGTTTCCCTAACAGCAGATCTAACTGTAACATTCCCATCACCTTGAGAAACACTTTCCTCACTACCTCTGAGGATGCTTGAATAGATGCAGGCGAAACGTCAGGAGAGAATGCCTCTAGAACATGGCCATATAGCCCGAAAAAACCTACAACAATCCAGTGATTCCGGCCACGATAGCCTTCGACAATACAACACTTTCCTTTTCCCTAAAAGCAATTTTACTTTTAGCATTCCTATCCTCCAAGGAAACTTCCTGAGACCCCACAGAAGTAACAGAATAAGAAGTAAAAAATCTCAGGCCCCATCAAAAGGTCCCCCTCCTCATCATCAGAGGCTTCACAGGCCTCAACCATTCTCAGAGCCCAAAGAGGATATCAGTGGAGACAGCACACCAAAGAACTGACATACCTTAATGCAAACATACAGATATATTTATAGTACTTTGACAGCAGTTTGAAACAAAGGACTTCTGTTACCCTGAGTGTCGATTGGTCCAGATCATGGCAGGCTAAGGTCTGCAGGCTGGCTGGCTGGAATTTGCTATATGTCATTGATGCCAATTGATCTCCAGGTTTGGAGTGAAATTTAATAAACAGTTATTGGTATATTGAAGTCTTGTATCTATTTATTGACTGGCTAAAAGAGGGGCGAGCACAGAAATCAATGTGTTGGGGCAAGCAATAATGGGCTGAAATGGGCCTTAATATTCCAGCCCTGGTTAATACAATGGGTCTCAGTCCAGAACAACATAAGGGTGCTTAGAATGCTAGTCTTATCAATGGATGCCCTGGGGTGTAGTCCAGTTTTGTGAGAAGAACAAGGAAGTATTCCCTGGAATAAATCAGATCATATCTGGGAGGAACAGAAAAAAGACTGCTAGGGTCTTGCACAAGCCCATTGCTGTCATCCCCCCTCTTCCCGGGTCACCCAGTATATATTGTGAAAGGATTATGGTAACTGGTGGATCATTTCCTGGGGTCCAAGGTGTGGTGAGGCAACATTCCAAGAAAATTCATGGGAGGTTATTACAGGGCACAATGGAAAGAGCAATGCAGCTTGCTATATGTCCCAATGAATCTGTGTTTGATGATTCATAATTTTGGCATCTAATTTTCGATAACATCATTCTTCCTATACATTCCTATACTTAATATACTCCATGAGTACATCTGAACGAGTGGATTGGTATCCATGGGAGCTCTTGCTGAAATAAACCAATTAGTCTCAGAGTGCAACTAGATTTCGTCTTCTCCTTTTTTTCAGTGCTATGATGGACTAACATAGCTATTTCTTTGGGAACTAGATGGACATGTCCTGTGATGCATAGCTGGGATCCTACAGACAGTGGCTACCATAATATCCATCTCGTTCATGTAAGATAGCATCACATTTTCTGGGACTGCAGATAGTTACGTTTGGACTCAAGTGTGCCTTTGTAATTCAACACCCATCACAGGATGCATCCCTGGCTATATTTTAAAGGACAACCCACATGGGCAAGCATGTGTATGTTTAAACGATCCCTTTTATTACCTTGATCTGTACAAGTGGATGACAACCCATATATCTTTTCCTGCATTTGAAACTTCTTTCACATACTGCTCACCAGAAATTTCTACAAGTTCTCCATATTTTTGTTGCTTCTGTAAAGATCTTAATTCTTCTAAACGTTGTTTCCTAATTCAAAGAACAAACTGAAATCACTTTTCTTGTTATAATCATTAAGAAATTTGGCAGAATAAAATGGACAATATATTCAAGTGATTAATAATAATTGCACCACTCTAATTCTTTAGGGATTCGGAGAAAAGAGAGATGTGAGATATAAGCAGAGCAATGTTTCCCCCTTTTAAAACTAAAACTCTCAGAATTTCTCTGAAAGATTTTGGAAGTTTGTTTTCCAAAAAGTAACTTCTCTAAGCTCTCAGGAGTGCTTTGATTGTGCCTTCTTGCATGACAGGGGTTTGGACTGGATGACCCTTGGCAATCTCTTCCAGCTCTACGATTCCAGGATTCTATATCAGACAATATGGGGTCTAATTGTTACACTTTTTCTCGTCCTGATCAAGACCAACCCATTTGGGATCCAACATTTCCTGTCTTTCCTTGAATTTCTTCCTCCAAAAGAGAAAAGAAAGTAGAGGAAAGGGCAGGGAGGGGACTTGGGGAGAACCCCTCCCTCCCGGCCTGCCCACCCCACTCCAGCCAGCCATGCGACCCCCAAGTTAGAAAGTTTGCCCATGCCTGATGTAGGCAGTCCTTTCACCACCTCAGATAATTGCTGATTGATATTATTGTTGTTAATTCTGTGTTTAATTGCCTATTTATATTTAATGTTTTAATCAATGTTTAATTGTGTTATATTGTTATGTTGTGTGTTGGCATTGAATTGTTGCTACTGTAAGCTGCCCTGAGTCCCTGCTTGGGGGTTGAGAAGGACAGAGTACAAATGTTTGAAATAAATAAATAATAATAAATAATCTCTCCTCTGTCTGTAATGCTATTGATATATTCTCCTATTTCAAACATTATGATTATAATTTATTTCTGTATTTGTGTATTTATTTCTGTATACATGGTCCTGTTAATCAATTTCTAGACAGATACTCAAGTACCGGTCTAGAAATTCTAGTAAAAAAAAATCAACCTAAAAAAATTGGGTTGGCTTAGCCATGAGCCACTGTGAGTACTCTACCTTAACTCATATATATAAGAACTAGCTTGAGTACCCGGCATTGCCCAAGTTATTCTGCGTGCCAAATTAGTTCCAAGTTCATCATTGGTGGAGTTCAAAGTGCTCTTAGATTGTAGGTGAACTATACATCCCAGGACCTACAACTCCTATAAATCATGGTGAATTCTCCCCAAACCTCTCTAATGTGTTCCATTGCTGATCAGTTCATCAGTTTGTTGTGTGTCATAGAAGATAATAGGAAAGGGTTAAAGGAGAGGCAATGGGTGGGGTCATGCAAATTCCACACCAATGGGGAGAGTAAGAAACACTGAGAAGTCTGTGGTGGAGGAAACACATAAACTCTAGGCTGGTATTGTCTCCATATGAAAGCCTTCACTTGGGTGGTGGGCAGTATTGTGTTTGTGGAGGACATTGGCAGGGTTCTTGTATATGTTCATGGTGCTCACTATAACTTGCAATGTCATTGAAGGGGGGGGGCTATTGGTGTTTCCTGAGTAGTGGGGGCTATAGCTGTTTGTGGAGGCAGGAGCACGTCTGTGTAAGTGGAATCCCCAACCACACACACACACACACGCATGCATATTTTCAGTTATTACGTGTATAGATACATAGATTGTATCCCCCTTCTTGAGTGGTGAAAGATGAAAGTTTAGTTAATCTCAGGAGAACCTCAAATAAGCACCGACCTGCTTTACTAGCCTATTATTTTTCTTCAGAAATATTGTAATGTCAACAGATTTAAGCAACTGAACAACTTGAATTGCTATCCTTCACACATATATTTGTTGAACTCCCTGGGACTTATTTCTTGATAGATGTACAAGAGATTGTCTGTAAAAACCCTTAATACAGGTTCCTTTAACACAGAACCTGTACTAAATTAGGTGTTTCTATGATAACAACAGTTTCGAATGCATAAAACTCACGCACAAATGTACACAAATGAAAACACTAGATGGCACCACTTACTTGCCTATGGAGTACATATAAGTATTAGAACTACTTTTCCTCGCTGACTCAAACCTGTTAAATGCTTTGCTTAGTAGGAAAGGAATAAAATATGAATAACGACCATCTATTTATTCTAATTTCATATCCATTTTGAGATCTTTGCTCTTCTCGTTATTTTGTCTTTAAATGTGCTCACCATAAACTTGAGCATACCTGTACATTTCAACAGCTTTCATATCTTCTTCATTAAATTCATCTTCAGCTTCTTTGAGTTGTTTCAGATTCATTTTTTCATATGGTTTCACTGAGCAAAAAACAAAACAAAACAAAAAAACCCGATGAAACCTTAGAAGCTACAAAATGTATAGGTAAAGGTAAAGGTTTTCCCCTGACATTAAGTCCAGTCGTGTCTGACTCTGGGATGTGTGCTCATCCCCATTTCTAAGCTGAAGTGCCGGCGTTGTCCGTAGACACCTCCAAGATCATGTGGCCAGCATGACTGCATGGAGCGCTGTTATAAAAATATACAAAAATGTATAACAAAGGACAAAAATAAAATGCCACTTCTGTATATTTCTGGGCAGAACCTGGAAAGTTACTTTTGAGAAGAATTACTATAATGAAATGGAGGTTAAGGCCATAACTTGCTACTAGTCACACCGACTATATATCACTTCATGTATTAGAGGAAGTGTGCTCCTGTAGAAAAAATGAAATGCAAAGATACAGAATGGGGGACGCATGTCTCGAGAGCAGTACGTGTGAAAAAGATCTTGGAGTCCTTGTGGACAACGTTAAACATGAGCCAACAATGTGATGTGGTGGCAAAAAAAAAGCCAATGGGATTTTGGCCTGCATCAGTAGGAGTATAGTGTCTAGATCCAGGGAAGTCATGCTGCTCCTCTATTCTGCCTTGGTTAGACTACACCTGGAATACTATGGCCAATTCTGGGCACCACAATTGAAGGGAGATGTTGACAAGCTGGAATGTGTCCAGAGGAGGGCGACTAAAATGATCAAGGGTCTGGAGAATAAGCCCTATGAGGAGTGGCTTAAAGAGCTGAGCATGTTTAGCCTGAAGAAGAGAAGGCTGAGAGGAGATGTGATAGCCATGTATAAATACGTGATAGGAAGGAGGGAGCAAGCTTGTTTTCTGCTGCCCTGGAGATTAGGACGCGGAACAATGGCTTCAAACTACAAGAAAGGAGATTCCATCTCAACATTAGGAAGAACTTTTTGACTATGAAAGCTGTTCAGCAGTGGAACTCTCTTCCCCAGAGTGTGGTGGAGGCTCCTTCCTTGGAGGCTTTTAAACAGAGGCTGGATGGCCATCTGTCGGGGGTGCTTGAAATGTGATTTTCCTGCTTCTTGGCAGGGGTTTGGATTGGATGGCCCTCGAGGTCTATGATTCTATGATTTGTTTCTGGAGAAGTTGTGTTTATATCTTATTTCATTGGCTTTGCTTAGGGCAACTGATTTTCCATCATGGGAACACATGCTGGATCCTAACACTGGCCTTGGTTAGGATCCAGCATAGTTTTTCTTATATCCTTATTTAGAAGAAACACAGAAAGTAATATTAGATATTCACTGTGTTTTTGTATGGATTTATTCCCAAGCCATCTTGAGGGCTCTTGCTGAAAGCCAAGATATACATGATGCAAGCAAAAACAAACACTTAAATGAAATTAAAAATCAATTTTCCCAAAGATGTGCCTGATGCTGAATCCTAAACAGAAACCCCATGTTTACAAAATTCCAATTAATGGCCATTAAGTGCAATAACCTTTTGCCAGATGTTATTTCCAGATGTGTTCTAATTGTGTCAGTATTAGAGCTGATCTGCTAATTCAAAATTTAGGAAGTATGAGTTCTCGTTTTTCTCTGATTGGACTGTTTTAAAATATATCAGTAAAATATACTGCTTGGGTGTTTTCCTTGTGCTAAAATTCCTGGCTTGTAGAAATCAAAGGAAGGCAAAGCTATCTTAGACTCCAACTGTCCTTTGTTTATTTTAAGATGAATACAAGGCTGTGGCTTTCCCCTTCAGAATTGTGAAGTACTACATTGCCCAAGAAAACTATACAACAGCCATTTTCTAGATATGTAGACCAGTCTTTTTATTCTTCGGAAGCCATAAGAGCAGGATCGGATTGTATTACAATGCATAGATTGTAGACTGCTAAAATGCAGTGATCTTAATTCCAACAATTGCTTGCACATTGACAGCAATATGTTAGCAACTCCTTACCTTCAGCTTCTTTTTGTAAACGTAAAACCATTTCTTCAATTTCATCTTTAACTTCTTCTTTGGGGGGCAGAATCCCAAAATCTCTCAAAACATCATTCCATTCCGTATCTTCATTTGGATCCTTTAAAAACAGAAGTTCATTGTATCACTAGCATACAGTATGCTGCCTTGGATCCAAACCAGCACATCCTGCAGGGAGTGTCTAGATCCAGGAAAGTCATGCTAGCCCCCTATTCTGCCTTGGTCAGACCACACCTGTGGTCAATCTGGGCAGTACAGTTGAAGGGAGATGTTGACAAGCTGGAATGTGTCCAGAGAACAGCAACTAAAATGTTAAAGGGTCTTAAGAACAAGCCCTATGAGGAGTGGCTTAAAGAGTTGGACATGTTGAGTCTGCAGAAGAGAAGGTTGAGAAGAGACATGATGGCAATGTATAAATATGTGGTGGGAAGTCATAGGGAGGAGGGAGCAGTCTTGTTTTCTGCTACCCTGGAGATTCCATCTGAACATTAAGAGAACTTCCTAACTGTGAGAGCTGTTTAGCAGTGGAATTCTCTGCTCTGGAGTGTAGTGGAGGCTCTTTCTTTGGATGCTTTTAAACAGAGACTGGATGGCTATCTGTCGAGGGTGCTTTGAATGCAATTTTCCTGTTTCTTGGCAGGGGGTTGGACTGGATGGCCCATGAGGTCTCTTCCAACTCTATGATTCTATGAGATCATACAACACAGCTGTCCAGACAGAGGATCAGTCACTTTAAAAAATATGTTTGTGGGAAAAACCAAAACTGATACTTTAGACCAAACCATCTGAGGTAAGCTCAGGGCTCTGAAAACTTAACTCTGAAAGTTTAATTCTGGATTACAAATAACTATATAGTTATTTGTGTTAGTGCAGAATTAGGATTGCTAGTTCAATCTGATGGCCCATAGGGACTTTCCAACTGTGATTCTATGACTATTCGTTTACTTGAAACTAGATAGAGAATGCATTAAATCAGAGAAGTTACCTGACTTTGTCACTTCAAATAAAAAGCCATGCCTCTTTTGAATTCTGAAATGAAATGGCACTGAGGTAAAATATGGCCCTCCAAATATGAAGCAGGAATTGGGGCTTTAAAGATGTAAGTAGGTAGGTAAGTAGGCATTTCTCAAACTAGGGGTTGGGACCCCTGGTGGGGTCCCAAGGGGCTGTCAGAGGGGTTACCAAAGACCATCAGAAAACATAGTATTTTCTGTTGGCCATGGGGTTTCTGTGTGGGAAGTTTGGCCCAATTCTATCATTGGTGAGATTCAGAACGCTCTGTGATTGTAGGTGAACTATAAATCCCAGCAACTACAACCCCCAAATGTCAAGTCTATTTTCCTCAAACTCCACCAGTGTTCACATTTGGGCATATTGAGTATTTGTGCCAAGTTTGGTCCAGATCCATCATTGTTTGAGTCCACAGTGCTTTTTGGGGATGTAGGTGAACTACAATCCCCAAACTCAAGGTCAATGTTCGCCAAACCTTTCCAGTATTTTCTGTTGGTCATGGGAGCTCTGTGTGCCAAACATGGTTCAATTCTATCATTGGTAAGAGTTCAGAATGCTCTTTGATTGTAGGTGAAGGCAACTCAGAAAGTTGTCATGGCAAAATGACATTGAAAGCCAGTAGAACCAGCAGGTAGACATCTCCTGTCCAGATCCCTGCATAAGTTATCTACCAAGGCAACAAAGCTGTCTCTGTTCCATAATCAGGCCTCAAAACAGACTGAAATGGGTGTAATCATCCTCATCCAGGAACCCTTGGAGTTGAATTGCCACCACATGCTTTATTTAGTATCTTCTGAGAAATAGAAGATAATAGTTATTAAGTACAGAAGAGTCCAGGAAAGTTTTCTTTAGAAGACATCTTACTACAGCATCCTTGAAGCATGCTCGGGTCCTCCCACACAGCCCTATATCTCAGAATATCAAGGCAGAAAATCCCACAGTATCTGGTTTGAACTGGGTTATTTGAGTCCACATTCAGATATTGTGGGATTTTCTGCCTTGATATTCTGGGATATAGGGCTGTATGGAAGGATCCTGGGACCCTGCCGTGATGCAACAAAGCATTAATCATTTCCGTGACCCTCTCCACCAGTTTCCCTCTCATCTGCTTAATGAGCCAGAAGGAACAAGGGTCTAACGCACGTGATGGCTCTCATCTTTCCAAGGATTCTGTCCACATGCTCAGACTACACACATTGAAAAGTATCCCTCAACACTAAAAAAGCAGGTGTACAAGGTTACAATGTTGTATCAAATGTGGTTTGTAAGGCCCCTCTTACACTGCCATATAATCCAGGTGATCAAAGCAGATAATCCACATTATCTGCTTTAAACTGGATGAGTCAATGCTGCCATATAATCCAGTTCAAAGCAGATAATCTGGATTTTATATGGCAGTGTGGATGGGGCCAGAGTCAAATCAAATCCGAGCGAGCTTATCTGCAAAATGATGGACAAGTTCTTCACTGTGTGCTGAATAAAGCTTCTAACACCTCAGTGTGGATAACATGTCCTAAATATTTTCAGGTATCTTGCTTTCTTGGTCAGCTCAGTTTTCAGAACTTTAACAATTTTTTGCTTGATCCTGAAGCATTTTATCTACTCAATGGTTGGTGTAGATTACATGACGAATCAACAAGTAGACCACGATTAGCATTTTGCTTCTATCTCTATATTCCTTCTATCATACCTTCCGCCATCTACTCTCTACCGAGCATTACCATGTTCAGTCAACTTCTTCTTCACAACCCTGATGCTACTAGTTGGGTCCTGCCAACAGCATGTGGTGGAAGGAGAGTTGGAGGGTGGTGGGAATTATCTGTTTAGCTTCTTCCTTGCCTGTGTTGTTTGCACAGGCACTTTATTTCTGGAACAGCTACTCAATATGCCCATTCCACATAATTCATCTTTTAGAGGTAGTAAATTATTAAACAAATAATAGGCAACTAAAATAATCATATTACTTTTGTTATCTTGCATAAGGGGCTACATGGATGGCAAAGTACTTCTTGATCAAGGCAAAAAAAGCAGACAGAAATAGCAGTTCCTACTGAAGTGGCAGCTTGAGCTGCATTCCTGACTGAATTTAATGTGGGAATGAATGTTGCTGCCTAAGATCTTCAGGGAAGGCCCTGCTCTCGATCCCACCATCGTCACAATCACTCTTGGCAGGGATGAGAGACAGGGCCTTCTCGGTGGTGGCCCTCCGCCTGTAGAACTCACTCCCCAGCAAAATTAGGTCAGCTGCTTCCCTCTTTTCCTTTAGGAAATAGTTGAAAAAATGGTTGTGAGACCAAGTATTCGGGTAGCAGGCTGATAATAAAAATTATGACAATGCTACGGAAGATGAACTATGGACAAGCTTCGGACTAAGTTGTTGGTTGTAGAATTCGGTTTTAGATATGGCCAACCAATTTAGTACTGTTTTAAATGGATTTAAGTTTAATTTAATTTAATGTTTTACTTATTATGTAACTGCTGTTTCTTTTGTTTTTATATGGGGGGCATCGAATTGTAAGCCGCCCTGAGTCCCCCTCTGGGAGTTGAGAAGGGTGGGATACAAATATTTGAAATAAATAAATAAATGCATCCTAAATGTATTCCATCTCAGATATATCCCACTTTTCTGACCTGCATGTTAGGTTCCTCGTGGGTGGCAAGACGACTTCCACATTACCCAGCCCTCCAGTCGTCTGAAAGATGAGACCCAAACCTACATTCAGCTGTTCAGCCCAGTACGCAGAAAGGCCAACAAACTGTTTCAGAATGTTGCCGGTTCTGGAGAAGACACGGGAGGTGCCCTTAGAACAATTACAGAATTCCAACTGCCTTGTGAAAACTCCATCTTCTTTCAGGTTTTGGACTTTAGTCTCCATAATAACCTTAGGAAAGCAAGAAGAGCGATAGCTTTCAGAGTGTTTCTCAACCTGGGGGGGGGGGGTCGTGAGGGGTTTCAAAGGGGTCACCAAAGACCATCAGAAAACACATATTTCTGCTTGCCTTAGGAACCCCTTTGCCAGAAAAGGCTGACGATCTCTCCACCTGTCCTTCTCTTCCTGTTTGGAAACAGACAGGGAGCTATTGTCGGTGGGGTTCAGAATGCTCTTTGATTGTAGGTGAACTGTAAATCCCAGAAATTACAAATCCCAAATGCCAAGGTCTATTTTCCCCAAACTCCACCAGTGTTCACATTTGGGTATATTGAGTATTTATACCAAGTTTGGTGCAGATCCATCGTGATTTGAATCCACAGTGCTCTCTAAATGTAGGTGAACTACAACTCCAAAACTCATGGTCATTACCCACCAAACCCTTCCAGTATTTTCTGTTGGTCATGGGAGTTCTGGGTGCCAAGATTGGTTCAATTCCATCGTTGGTGGAGTTCAGAATGCTCTTTGATTGTACGTTAACTATAAATCCCAGCTACGACAACTCCCAAATGATAAAATTAATTCCCCAACCCCATCAGTATTCAAATTTGTGTTTATGGAGTGTTTTGCCAAATTTGGTCCAGTGAATGAAAATCCATCCTGCATATCAGATATTTAAATTACAATTCATAACAGTAGCAAAATTACAGTTATGAAGTAGCAACAAAAAAGTTGGGTATCACCACAATGTGAGGAACTGTATTAAAAGGTCGTGGCAATAGGAAGTTTAAGAACTACTGCCCTAAAATAAACAAATGTTGTTTGTGAGTGACTTCTGTAGGCTGACATATCCCACAGGAAGACATATCCTGGCCAATGTTTTCCTAATCTCTCTTCTATGTGTATGGCGGGTATCATCTGACATGATGCTGTGCTTGATTTTTTTGAAAGGAGAGAGACTACAGAGCATTAACACTTTTCTCCTTCTCTGAAACATAGTGGAATATTGTGGCTATTCATTGGTCACAAGAGAAGCACAGAAGGCACACAAAGGCACTTTATTTTAACTTAACGTGTTCCACAGCTTCTGAGGATCTCAAGCACAAAGTAAGTCCTAAGCGATGATGGAGTGGCTTAATATCTTTTGTTAGTCAAAGGGTAGCAGATTGCTCTCATGGTTAATGTCAGAATCTGGGTGAGCACCCCTCTGCTACAAACGGATTTAGTCATCTCAGTAACTGGCACTGTTCTCTGTGTATTTTAAATGCGATTTGCATTCATGGCACCCAGTTCTCCTGTTTGTAGGATTTTACACTTCAAAATTTCATTGACTATAGTTCCATTGCTTTGCTCTTTCGGCAGCAAAATTCTCACACAATGCAAGGATGGCTCATTTGATTCAAAGTTAGCTATTAGCCGACCAGTTATATTACAAAAATATTTAAACCGTAATTGCAAATCACAAGACCCACACCATGAAAAAGATGACACTAAAAACAGAAAAATTCTCATTAAAATATTCTCATTAAAACAATTCTCTACTGAGTGCCTTTATTTACAATAAAAGGATAGGGGAACCCTTTATTTAGCATTTCTGCTATTGACAACGTTTTTTGCATGCAATTATGCCAACACCGAAATTATTATTATTTTAGTTTTATTACACACAGTTACAAACATTATAATAAGGAGAAACATAATTATTTCGAGGTGCTTCAAGAAAGAAACATTTGTGCCTCAGGCTACAATCCTGTACACTGTTACTTGGAAGTGAGCTCCAATAAGCTTAATGCGGCTTACTAGTAAGTAAACATGCAGAGGATTATATTGCACTTTTAATTATAGAAACTGACTTGTGAAATAAAATATCTAAAAAAATCCAGTTGTATATGTAATAAAGGATAAGATGCTCATCTTGTTTGTACTCGTATAGTGATTCTACGTTCAAGGATGAACAATTCTGAAAAAGACAGAAGGTTTTGACACTGAATATTTTTTTTAAAAAAAACAACATAATTCATGGTGAATTTACAACAACAACAAAAAACCTGAAAAGGTAGCAATCAATGAACACACAAGGCAGTACAAAGGACAACTCAAGGATTATTCCCTTACCAGTAATACTTTATTCCACAAATGAATCCTACTGAGTTTGCTTAATACGTTTATACAAAGCTCTCCATGGCAGCATGTGAGTTTATTATGTTTCTGTCAGTCAATAAAAGGGACCTATGTGTCAAATAGCATATTGATATCATTCATTATACATCTGCTGCATTGGTTTCAATGCAAGATCTGTGCCCGCTTGTTTTCTAGTGAAGTGACTTTGGGTACATTTGCACTGCAGAATAAATGCAGTTTGACACCGCCATGGCTCAATGCTATGGAATCATGGCAGTAACGGCTTTACAACGTCTTTAGCCTCCTCTGCCAAAGAGCACTAGTGCTTCACCAAACTATAAATCTTAGGATTCCCTAATATTGAACTTTGGCATATCCTTCTTTTAGTCTAATCACAAAAATGATGATGCAAATGCAATTTCCTAAGAGAGTCCTTCTTGTATCATGTTCCAATTTGGCAAAGTTTTGGGTTGTTCAAGAGCCTTAAGAGTCCATCATCATCATCATCATCATCATCATTATTATATCACTCCCTCCTCAGTTCACTAGTTTTTCCTATGGGAATGGAAGCCCAAGCTCTGCATTAAATTGAAGTGGAGAGAGCAAACTTTCTTCTACACTATGGTCCCTTCTACACTGCCACATGAAATCCAAATTATCTGCTTGGAACTGGATTTTATGGCAGTGTAGATTCATATTATTCAGTTCAAAGCAGATGATGTGGGTTAGCTGCTTTGATAATCTGCTTTGATAATCTGATAATTTGGTAATTCAAGACCTCATCTCCTTCTATGAACTGGTGCAGGTTCTGAGATCTCCCATGGTCCCTTCTCTCAGTCCCACCTCTCAAGCACAGTTGGTGGGGACAAGAGAGAAGGCCTTCTTTGTGGTGGCCCTCCGGCTCTGGAATGGCCTCCCTAGAGAGATTAGATTAGTCTCCACCAAGTTTTTCAGTCTAATCTGAAAACATGGCTTTTTGAACAGGCCTTCGGTTTTCATTAGAATTGTAATGGCTAGACTCAAGGACTTAGTGATTTGCTTCACTCCAACACTGGATTGATACTTGAAGACAGCCATTTTTATCCGTAGGTACTTCTGCGTTTTATGGAATTTAAAATCTTATTATGTGATGTTTTATGTGTAATCGTTGTGTAAATTTATGTTGTCATCATTTTATGTGCTTATGTATTGTGTATTTTATGTGTGCGGCACTTTGGGGTCCTTTTGTGAGCTGCCACGAGTCCCTTTGGGGAAATGGTGGCGGGGTATAAATATTATTATTATCTGGAGTATATGACAGTGTAGAGGAGACCTAAATCACCCATGTTAAAGAAGCAGCAAATAGATTCTATATTTGACCAGAGTTACACTTTAAAAATGTACCTGTTCCAACTTACATACAAATTTAACTTAAGAACAAACCTGCAGAACTTATCTTGTTAGTAACTTGGGGACTGCCTATATGTCAGAAAATTTCAAGAGCCGTATTTCTTACTTGCTCTTCTCTACCAGTATAATATTACAGATTGTTAATGACTCATTCAGTGTGATGAATAATAAACCAGCAAAGCCATCCTTAGGTGTCATCCTGAAGAGTTAGTTCTTCAAAATGCTAAGTACACGGGTGTTGGGCATAATGTGAATTTAATCAAATTTTATTCATAGCAAGCACACATTTTCCTAGCACAACAGTTCTATAGCACTTTTTTTTCAAAAAGCATAGCCAGTATAGAACAGCCTATAAATATTAATTCTGATTGAAAAATCAAGTCAATACCATTTTAAGGAAATGTAGCCGATCTCCTTCCATTGCGTGGCTGGAAAAGAAATAATGATGGATAAACAGTAAGGAAACTAAATTGCTTCTTGAAGAATTTTTAAAGTGCACATTATTAAAGCTCTTTGAGGAACAGTTCTTTGAGGAACTGTTGTGTTGCAGTCAGCTAAGTAACGGTCCTTTGAGTTCTAGCCAAACATTTTCAAAACTAGATAAAAGCACACACTTCAAGGACAGATGACAAGTGCCCTCAGACTTTAATATCAATTTTAACTGCATGACAGATTTTGTCACTTGGGTGGAGAATATGTTTCTGGGTTGAATCAGAATTTAAATTAGGACCAGAACCTTGGATAGCTCATTTTTAAAAAAAATTAAAACCCAGAGTGGATTCACTGTCTCACCAGTAAAGAAGCTCCCTTGACGTAGATGTTCAGCTCAGTGTTTCTGCACTATACATTCAAATTTATAGACCCACATTTACGTTTTGATTTTATTATCTATCTCCCTATAATGGACTATAATGTATTAATCAGCCCAGGAATTACTAAAACAATTTTATCCCAAATTCTGACAATACTCTCATGTTTTGTAATACAACCATGGGTTTGAAACAAACACCAATCTACATACCCTGAAAATAAAGTAGCCCCTACTTTGAATTCCTCCAGGTATTCGAAGTTCATCCTGAAATGAGAATAGATTATTAATAATGTTAAAGACAGCTTGAAACTTCAGGGGGATACAATACCAGAAAGGATAGAAGTTGGCACAGTATGCTCCCACTTTGAACCTAAACAATGGTGGATCTGGACCAAGCTTGGCATGCATACTCAATATGCCCAAATTTGAATACTGGTGGGTTTGGAGGGGAATTGGCCTGGACATTTTGGAGCTGTAGGTACTGGGATGTAAAGTTCACCTGCTATTAAAGAGCACTCTTGTGGTGAAGTATGAGTTTTAATCTACAGTTATGTATAACAATAGATTGGTGTTTATAAGGTTAAGTATTTAAACTAGCATAACTGGGGGGGAGGGGGATGGTAGCCAGCTCAACTCACTTTGAGCTGGGTTGCCATGGAAAAAGGGGCAGAGCCAACTGCAACTAGGCAGGGCAGTCATTTTAAAACAGTTAGTCTGTAGTCAGCAAACTACAGGGAAGGCTGGTTCTGTTGTGTTTTGAGAACCAGTAAGGTAGTATGTAGTCTAAGAACTACAGGGAAAGGCTGATTCTACTGTGTTGAGAATCAGGAAGGTTTTGGCTTTTAGCCTGTGTAGTTTAGATAGGTCGAGCTGACTAATTTATATTATTAACCAGTGCGAGAGCAAAAGGGGGAGAGAACCTTAATAAGAATATTTACTGCAATAGAAATAAAATAAGGAAAGAATAAGCTTGTGCCTGAAGTAATCTGTTAAAGAAACACATTTGGAAGGAAAATAAGTTTAAAACCTGTTTAGTGGAAGGAATAGTCCTCTTAAGAGTTGTTTTATGAAATGTTATAAATGTAGCCACTGAAGAAATGTGCCTCTAAGAATTAAGAAACATTGAAACCATCAAGCTTCTTCTATACTTCAATAAACTTGTTACAGTTTCTTCTAAAGCCAAGTCTCTGTTTCAAATACTTCCAAGTTAAGCCATGCTACACATTGAAGAAAGAACAAATCAATATTATAAGCTATTAGTTGTGTTATCAATTTAGTAAGTCCTTATAAAGTGGTGGCTCCTTTACAAACTGGATGCCTTCTTTACAAATTGGTGGCCTCTTCACAACTCTGAACTCCACCAAAGAGGGAATTGGATCAAACTAGCCACACAGAGCCCCTACGACCACCAAAAATACTGGAAGTCTTTGGGGAAAATTCACCTTGATTTGGGGGAGTTGTAGTTCACCTACATCCAGAGAGCACTGTGAAACACTGATGGATCTGGACAAAATTTGGCAAAAGTTGAGAGGTTTGGGGAGAACTGACCTTCCTTTCTGGGAGTTGTAGTAGTTCAACCACAACCAGAGAAAATGTGACCTCCACCGATGATAGACCTGGACCAAACATGGCACACAGAACCCCCATGACTAACTCAACCTACTGGAGGGGTTTGAGGGGATTTACTCACCATAATGGGAGTTGTAGTTTACTCTACAGCCAGAGAGCATAGTGAACCCCACCGATGATGCATCTAGAGCAAACTTGCCCATCATAACAAACTTTAAGTACTGATGGAGGTTTTTGGGGTTTACCCACAACCTTATGCATTTGGTACAATTAAAAATTTGTCTTTTTCAAATAACTCAGGCAATGCTGGGTACCTAAGATAGTAATAAATATATATCATTACTGAAAAGCAGTTGTTGAATAGTAAATTATTGAGACAAATGAGAGAAATATCTTCAAACACTCAGTTATGGGAAATGGTGAAAGTTTGCTGAAGTGATTTTCTGAATGGTAACACTCAGAATTTGAAGATTGCATGGCCACTAAATGAATGGTCATGCCATATGGCGGATTTTGGGATATCTAATCCAAAAAGTATGTTTCCCAAGCTGTTGATCAACTCAACCCTACCATCCTCATAAACAATTCCACTGGAGGACCTAGGGTATATCCTCACTGGATAATTAATGCAGCTTGACACCACTTTAACTGCTATGGCTCAATGCTATAGAATCCTGGGATTTGTAGGTTAGTGAAACACTAGCACCCTCAGGCAGAAAAGATTAAAATGCTTGTAAAACTACAATTTCTATGGTTGCATAGCATTGAGCCATGCCAACTATAGTGATGCCAAACTGCATTAATTCTCCCCTAGAGAGAGACACACAAACATTGCCAGGGTGGAATATTTTTGGAACATGGTTAACTGAAGCCATGGATATCAAATCCATGGATAAAGTGATAGTACTTTAAACTGCAAGTAATTTATATTAAATTGTTAAACAATGCCAACCAACCCACCTTAGTTCAATGTTGTTCACATAGATTGTTTTTAATATTTCAGTTCTATATAAATCTATTCAAAAGATGTCCCACTGTGACCAGTGGAGTTTATCCCAAATACAGGGTTACAGTTATAACCTTCAGGCGCTAGTAACAAATGCTCTGAAATATTCATTAGTAGGTCACATATTAAAGTTTTGTTCCAATCACAATCTCTCTCTTTGCCCTTAAAGGCAAGTGAGGAGGTGTTGGGTAGTTCGTCTTTAATAATTATATTTCCAGCATCCTGTGGGACAGGCCTAAATGAATCAGAAGGCTTGGAAAGGAAAGGAAAAAGAGAGAAATGATCCATGCCAAAAAGCAATGTTGAAGATCAGTCTAAAAAGCTGCACCTACCCTACCTGGTGTATATTGAAGCTAGAATACTTCAGAAGATCATTGAAAAATCTAGAAGTAATATCTGATAATGGGTTGAGCCAATTATTTCTCCCTTTCAAAAATACCCAGAATGTCTAGCCCTTTCTGTAGGCCATTTGCATATTTATGTGCACAAACATTAGCCCATTTCACATACAACAAGACACTGTAACTGGTCAAAGGACTGTTCCAGTGTTTCTGTATCTTGCTTGGCAAGCTGCCTTACAGTAAGGACTATACATTGAATAAAGGATTTGTTCCAGGTCCCTTCATATAATACAATTTTGCATATAATCTAGAACCCTATATTTCTTGCCTGAAATGAATGATGTCCTGGGCATCCAGCGGCAGCATACCATATAACCACACAAGGGGACTTAGCAATGCCCAAAGAGATGTGCTCTCCAGGTTCTCAGAATGATTCTTGAGTCAATTACCAGCAGAAGTTGACCAGTGTAGATCCAGCCTGAGAGAGGTGTACTCTGTACTCCTCAGGCTGGAGCTACACTGTCATATGACAGAATAGAATAGCTTTATTGTCATTGTACATTGTACAACAAAATTAAGTGCTTTCCCCAGCACATATCACAAAAACAACACACTCATCCTTCCGCGCTCCAACCACCACCACACAGCATCCAATGCTATATCAATGTGAAACCATATTCAATATAGTTACAGCTCTAGAATACAAACTAACTCTCAGCCTGTTTGTCCTTGTCTTTGTCATCCTGGACTGTCTGTCAGATGGTAATATTTTTTTAAAAGAATAGGCTGGGTGAGATGGATCCTTAAGAATGCTCTGAACTTTCTTAAAGTTGCGGGACCTATACAGTTCTTCCAAATAAGGGAGAGGGCAACCAATGATTTTATTTATTTACATTAATAGCATACTCAATTTAAGATGATTGCAATGATCTTGAAAATGCTAAATAGTATAGGACAATTGGGGCCCCTTCTACACTACTATATAAAATCCAGATTATCTGCTTTGAACTGGATTATATGGCAGTGTAAAGTTATATCATCCAGTTCGAAGCAGATAACCTGGATTCTCTGATTTGATAATCTGGATTATATGACAGTATAGAAGGGGCCTGAGGCCTCTTCTACACTGCCATATAAAATTCAGAGTATCCACTTTGAACTGGATTATATAGTAGTGTAGACTCATATAATCCAGTTCAAGGCAGATAATGTGTATTATCTGCTTTTATAATCTGGATTATATGGCAGTGTAGAAGGTGCCCAAGAAACTCTTCTCTCCTGTGTACCCCTCCTTGTCATCATCCTTACTCTCCAGCTGTTCCTATTTAGCAGAGGAAGTCTTGATCATCGCCCACTACCTCCCTCCTCCTTCCATTTCCCCCCTTAAGTCTACAATCTGAGGCTCCCTTTACACAGATTATTTGCTTTGAACTGTATTATATGGCAGTGTAGAGTTATATAATCCATTTCAAAGCAGATAATGTGGATTATCTGATTTGATAATCTGGATTATATGACAATGTAGAAGGGGCTGAGTTTAAAGTACAAAAGCACTTCACACTCAGTTAACTTCTAGTGGGGACAGAAGGGAGTCAGGCTCTTGCTCTTCTCAGTAGATTCAGACAAAAGTAAACTGTTTCGCCTTCTCCTATGTTGTGGATGCTTCCTCAACATTGGAGACTCTTGCCAGCTTGACCACACTTTGGTGTTGCTTGGGCTTATTATTTTTATCTGTGAATTGTTGGAGGATATACATTATCTGAGCCCCCGGTGGCACAGTGGGTTAAAGCACTGAGCTTCCGCTGTCAGCTCTAGCTTCGGCCAACCTAGCAGATCGAAAACATGTAAATGTGAGTAGATCAATAGGTACTGCTCCGGTGGGAAGGTAACGGCACTCCATGCAGTCATGCCGGCCACATGACCTTGGAGGTGTCTATGAACAATGCCGGCTCTTCGGCTTAGAAATGGAGATGAGCACCACACCCCAGAATCAGACATGACTGGACTTAATGTCAGGGGACAACCTTTACCGTATACATTATCTATGTCCTTGCACTTAAGTGTCCCTACTAATTTGTTTTATTAATTTTAACCTTGCATATCTGAGTTATGTTAGCTGCTTTCAGTTATTTTGGAAGAAAAAGTGAGCTATGAATTGTAACTTATAGTAAGATGGAACCAAAATGTGTCAGAGCAGATCAGTAGAAATTCCAAACAGTTCTACTGTTTGGTTGCCTGACACGATAGATAAATACATACATACATACATACATACATACATACATACATACATAGAAATTCCCCTTTTAAAGGAATGCATATATTACAGCTTGGGATCAATCTGTGACTTAAATCAGATTTGTCAGATAAATACACTAAACTTTTGTTAACCAATGAAACCAATACTTTACCCCTACTTATGCCTAGTGACCTGCAGGTTATTTCCTAAAGACCCTGTGATACTACAACAGACTTTCTTTCAAGTGAGTATTTTGCTCAAGGAAATCTGGTATTCAGAATTATGGTGGACAAGCCTAATTAGTGCAGGAAATTGAGAGGCAAAACATTTTGCTGTAGAAATGCTTGGTGAAGACTACAATTCTGAATATACATAGGAGAAAGCCTCATTAAAGTAAGTGACAGGCAGAACAGATAATTGGCTTTATAACTATAAATGGTGTATAATTATCCTTAGATTAACTAAAATTATACAAGGGGGAATTTATAACATAATGGTCTCAAACTTTGACTCTCCACATGTTTTGAACTTTAACTCCCAAAAGTCCTTGTTAACTTCATGAATGTTCATTGATGATAGGAAATGAAGTTTATGGCCCCTTCTACACTGCCATATAAAATCCAGATTATCTTATTTAAACTGGATATATCGCAGTGTAGAAGGGGCCTAAAGCACAACAATGACAGAGTAAACTCCACTGAAGTCAATAGGATTTACTCTAAACCACACATACTTGGAACTGAGTTACTACAAAGCTTCAAGAGAACAAATGAATCTTGATCTGAAAGCTGCTTGCAATGTTCTGAGTTCCTCACTGTGATAGTAGCATTTTAAAAAACTGAAATAAAACGTTAAGTTTGCATGTCCCCTCCCTCGCATCTAAAAACTCATTTGACTTCATGTTAACTAAGGTATTTCATTGTGTATGGTATTAATGTTAGTAAAAATACAGTAAATCTTTAATGTCTTATTTTCTACATCTATATCTGGATATATATTAATTGAAAGATTAATACATTGACCATGCATTTCCAAATGAAACCTATCAATAAACACATCAACTTGTTAAATACTATGCTTATGGGAGACCCAAGTATCTGATTTAGGAAAAGGGCAATGTGATAAATAGGAGCACAAGAACTGGAATTGTGGAGGCCAACCTGGAAAAACGTTCTGTCACAAAAAGTAACCTTTCCAAGCACAGCAGTGGTACCACGGATACTGCTATTATTACATCAAATACAGGTTCCCAGCATAGGGTTAAGTTCATAAGCTTCAGACTGCAAGGCATCTGTGCCAACATGGTGGATGATATGACTGGGCCACAGGACATTATGATTCAAGTACTGCATTGCATGGCAGTATAGATTCCTGTGATCCAATTCAAAGCAGATAATGTGAACTGTCCACTTATATGGCAGTGTGGATTTAGCTTTAATGCATTGTCGAAGGCTTTCATGGCCGGAATCACTGGGTTATTGTAGGTTTTTCCGGGCTATATAGCCATGTTCTAGAGGTATTCTCTCCTGATGTTTCGCCTGCATCTATGGCAAGCATCCTTAGAGGTAGTGAGGTGTGTTGGAACTAGGAAAATTGGGTTTATATATCTGTGGAATGACCAGGGTAGGACAAAGAACTCTTGTCTGTTGGAGCTAGGTGTGAATATTTCAACTGACCACCTTGATTAGCATTTGATGGTCTGGCAGTTTTTTGGTGTGGCTTGTTAGTGCCTGGGGGAATCTTTTGTTGAGAAGTGATTAGCTGTCCTTGATTGTTTCCTCTCTGTTGTTTTGCTGTTGTAATTTTAGAGTTTTTTTAATATTGGTAGCCAGATTTAAAGATAACTCCTCCTTTCCCCAAAAAAACCCAAGCTTTCCTGAGAGTGTTAGCTACATGCCATCCAGGTAACTACCAAGATGACATGAAGCCACCCCAAAGCTCCTCAAAACATCACTTAAAACTTTAAAAAAAAAAAAAAACCTTACCCAGCTGCCATTAAGATCCTCCTTGCATCCTCCTGGCATGAGGAAATGACATGCCAGGAGACGGGCTGGGGTGGGCGAGATGGGAAATCCCCCCCCCCCCAAATCTCCTGGTACATCATTTCCTTGCACCAGGAGGACACAAGGAAGACCTTAATGTTGTCCGGGTAAGTTATGTATGTAAGCCATTGAATTTGCCATTATTTTTGTGTAAATTGCTTTGAGTCCCTCCAGGGGGTGAGAAAAGCAGTGTATAAATACTGTAAATAAATAAATAAAGTTTTATGGGTTGTTTTGGGGCCTGGGGGGGGGGGAGGGGTTGGGTGCCATCCCAAACCTTTGGGCTCCAGCAGCCCTAAAGGTTCAGGATGACAAATGGGGACTCAGGTCCCTTCTATACTGCCATATAATTCAGATGATCAAAGCAGATAATCCTCATTATCTGCTTTGAACTGGATGATATGAATCTACACTGCCATATGATCTAGTTCAAAGCAGTTAATCTAGATTGTATCTGGGGGTGTAGAAGGGACCTCACTGAACACAATGGAATATAACGTCTCCGTTCACAAGCATTATTAAACTGAGTAAAACAATCAAGAATAAATGTGCTGTGCTTTTAAAGAAAGAAAGAAAAAGAAAGAAAAGAAAGAAAGAAAATAATGAAAGTGATGTTTACATAATGAAAACTGTTTATTTTTATGCAACTGCATACAATGCATAAAAAGTTACATACGTCTTTGTATCTCTTCAGCCTCGTCTCATGCAGTTGGGGAACAAGTTTCAGCAAAGGATGCAGAACAGACAACTAAAAGGGCATGAATATAGACATATAAGCAACAACAAAATCCTTATTTCAGGAAGTAAAAAATAAAACAGAAGCTTTTAAATGCATCAATTACTCATACGTATAACATGCAAAGCAAGGGACAGACAATTCTTGATGGAGCATATCTTTAGACTGCTTGGGTGGCTTCTGAAATTGTAGTTTACTTCACAGATGGACATCATAAAGGCCATTCATGATGGAAATCATAATGTCAGAAGGTCTTCATTACTGTGTTAGTTTGCGTGTTTGAACTAGTATACATGCAGAGCTAAGACCATTTGGTGCAACCTTGTGGTCAATAGAGTATGTTATGAGGAATGCTACTATAACAACTGACAGTTCCCTGATCACCTTATGCTTAAATATCCCAAGCAAAGCAGAGTCACCACTTTTGGGGAAATCTGTTTCATTGCCAAACAAACTTCCTTGCTGGAGTGATTTTGTCAATGTTTCACTTATACCTGCAATATCTACTGACTGGCTTTACTATTGTTCTCTCAACCAACAAAAAAGCAGCCTGTCTTCCACTGTAGGTATGAAACAAAAACAATCCTGGTAAAAAGTCAATTCTAAGCAACTCTAGATCAGGAAGAAACAACAGGATAATTCTTAGTTTCTGGGCATCTTTTGGTCACAAAACAAAGAATGAATTATCACTAATCAAGGAACAATACAGAGTTTAGAAACATTATTTTTTGGAGATGATAATTTCCAGCTCTCAACCAGCATGGCTGGAATATTTTGGGAGTTGCAGCCCCCAAAGGTAACTTCTCCCAGGCCAAAGCAGTGCCTTTTTGATTTTACTCAGCACCCCATGAATACTATGTCACTTCAGAAATTATTCATCAATACACTCATTGCAAGACAAAAACTCTGTTGGTCAAAGTGGCTTAAACACAACTCTAGCCTTGGGTTGTTGTAGGTTTTCCCAGGCTATATGGCCATGTTCTAGAGGCATTTTCTCCTGATGTTTCGCCTGCATCTATGGCAAGCATCCTCAGAGGTAGTGAGGTCTGTTGGAACTAGGAGAATTGGGTTGATATATCTGTGGAATGACCAGGGTGGGACAAAGGACTTTTGTCTGCTGGAGCTAGGTGTGAATGTCTAGCCTTGATCCTTCAACATTCCTCAGTAGTTGGAAGATGCAAAAGCAAAGCAGCCATTTGCAGTTTTGTATTATTAAAAACGAAGGTCTTGATTTCTGCCCACAAGTCATACAATAAATCCCTGAATTTCTAAAATCTTAGCCTCTTATCTTTTCCACTTCTTATCTTTGCATGCTCTCATTCCTCTCTGTTGCCACCCCTTCCCCATAAGCTTAAAACCCATGATGCCCACAAATGTCAGTAGCCAGCTAGAACCTGCCAATCTAAACAAGCTCTAATAATGAATGCTATAGATTGGCTTATTAGGGCATCAGAACATTTGGTATACAGTGGAGTCTTGCTTATCCGACCTTTGCTCATCCAACATTCTGTATTATCCAACGCAGTCTGCCTCCCATCCAGATCCACAGCTGTTTCAATACATTGCAATGTGTTGGTGCTAAATTCGTAAATACAGTAATTACTACATAATGTTACAGACTCTACTGTAACTGGATTGCAGTGGATGTACACCAGATATTTCTAATGATTCTTCATACTATTTTTTACACAAGTGGGAAATATTTCACACAACTAATGTGCACAAGGCAATGTGAATCCTACTCATAAACATGGTCTTGGAATCTACACATTCCACCATTGGGACTCAAAACAAAAGATCAAAATTTAAAAAAACTAATTGTTCTACAGTCCTATGTTAAGTTATATATATGTATGATACAACTGTTTTTACTTTTAAAAAATCCATATAAATAATTTGATATATTTTCAGTTTCTGCCAAAATAGGTCTCAAGCTGTCTTCAGCATTTATCGAGCTACATAGCTGAATACATCTTTTCTCATTTCCTAGCTGTTACAGTAGACATAAACACGGTGGCTTTGTCATAAGATGGACATCAAATAATATATAGCCTCAAAAGGAACATGATTTCTCAAATCTCAAATGAATCAACAGGGTGCTTGGAAAAATCATGGCCACGCTATTTTGTTCAAGATATTACATTACCTTCAGAAAGAATATTCTATTTTCCCTAATAAATATATACTATTTTCATATTATACAACACTTTGGAGCAAGGATTCTTTCTGTTTCCCATTAGTATACAAAGACTTTGACAACAGCAGCCATAGACATGAAACACTGATATTGCAAGGACGCAGATGTACATGAAGGACAAGTCGTGATGTTTTGTGCACTTTAAAAGCAGAACCTGATTAACTGGTCCTTCCCCTCCCCTTAACACAAAGTTTATCAATAATTCTACCTGGAGAGATTAAATGAAGTCAAATTAATAATGATGATATGCTGCTTTTAGATGCAGGCTCATGTTTACTCACAGGAAGAAGGGCAGTTCAACTTACCAGGTTGTTTGAGTTGCCCATATCATGGGTCTTAGAATAATGAAATAAGAACTGTTCAAAGAAATTAAATGTGGATATTATTTTGGAAGAGGTGACCATTGTGAGACAGGTATTAAACATACTTTTAAAAAGACTGTAAAAAAACACAACTTACTCTTTTTGTGATGTCCTTTTCATCTAACTCCTGTGAAAATATTGGCACAAGTCATATAACAATGCAGAATGGTTCATTTTGATGACAATGCAAAACAGTGTGGTACAATAGACACTACATTTGCTTATACAGTTTGAGTCTCCCCTATCTGTCTCCCTTATCTGGAAATCTGAAAAACTTGACAACCTAAAACATTCACCACCTTCATATTTGGGGAAAGGGGGGCTAATCGCATGGCCAGTGTTCACTGAGTTTTCCTTCAGAGTTTAATAATTGGGGGGTGGGGGTGGGGTGGAGTCCCCTGTAAAATGCAAGTCTCCCATATGATTTTGCATTTGCCTTCCGCCTGGCAATGGCAGCACATGGCAGTGTTAGTGCCCTGGAAACAGCCATGAAGGCGTACAAGTAATGACTCCATTGCCCGCCACCTGCATTCAGCCCAGAGAGATTCCTTTGATAAAAGGGTAGAAAGTGTGCTGACAAATGCTGAACTCTGTCAGTGCTGAGTGTGTGACTGGTCCCTTTAATCCCCATCCCTCATTCACAGATATTGCATTTAAAAAACACACACAATCTTCTGATCCCAAGCTTTTTGCATAAGGATGACTGAATCTGTAGATTCCTAATTGTTGATTTGAGGCTGCAATCCTAGGTATAAATAAAACCTATTCAATCTGGCTATGTCTTTACTTCTCAATAAGCATACTGTTTGCTCACCATTAATATAAATTGGAAAAGAGTGAAAGTAACCATGATTCATCTAAGACCCCTTCCACACAACTGCATCAAATCCACATTGAACTGGATTATATTGAAGTGTTGACTCAGATAATCCACTTCAAAGCAGATATTGTGGATTATCTGCCTTTATATTCTGGGTTATATGGCTGTGTGGAAGGGCCCAAACTTCCACTGATGGTTGTCCTGTTGCTTTTCCAAGCAGAGCAATTTCTTGAATGTACACATGAAGTAATGTATTAATTCCCTTAGACGGAGTATAAATAACCTATTTTGAATTCCACTCAGGAAATAGTTCTTCCTAGATCACTTCACCTCAACAGTACATCATTAATGTTCCTGAGCAGTAATTTTGCTAACTACCACCCAGTGGTCTATGGATGTCCCTGGAGTGACTTCTGTCATGTAACCACACAACTGAGAAACCAGTTAGTGCTTAATATCGGCATAGATCTTCCTTATAACACACTGCATTGTACAAGGTGATCTGTCAATCATGTTTCAGAAATACAGTGAAATGTTAACTGCCATTACCTGAGTTTTTTGCAGAAATTCCAGAACCAAAAAGCAAAGCTCTTCCATTGTATTTGTGGACTAAAGGCAAGGAAAACAGAATATTAGAAATTAGTTTACTAAACTGATAGCATTTGCTTTGAAAAATTCAGCATTACTATAACTATATTCTGTAAATTGGGCTGACCTGAGGTGGCGATTCCCTGGTCAAGTAAGTAGAACACACATCATCTATCTATAAATATTGACAAAAGAACAAGGACAAGACAGAAAAAGGTTGAGTTGTGAGAGAAAACAAGGAAATTGAACTTTAAATGAGGCTCTACAATTTGTAATGTCAAAATGGTAATGTCAGACAATTCAATGTCCCTACAATTATATATATTCAGAAAACAACTCAGAGCTGCTTCAAATATATCAGCAACTCAGATGAAAATGGGATTCCAAAGACAACCAGAAAAAGGACCTGTCGATCAATGGAAAAGTAAATGTCTAATGGGGAGTAAATGAATTTTAAGCAGGTTTTATAAACACTAAATAGCATCAGAATCAAGTGCTAACAGATAGATTAATGAAAGGTAAGAATCATAATTTGCAACAAGAAAATTACAATAATTCACAAATACTCATGTAAGAACACGAGAAGTCTAATAATATCTGACAATTAAATAGAATGGTAATAGAAGCAGAAAGATGGAGAAATTGTACTGGAAGCAGAGAGATGTGTCCTGAGACTGCCTCTAGTATGCAGCAACCTGGTTCTTTCTGCCAGATCAGACAGCAGCACCTGGCCAGGTAGGTGCAAATGGGTTCATACAGTCCTTCGAATCAGCATACCTCAAGCTATTCAGGACATAAAGGTCAAGATCCACACCTTGAACTCATCCCATTAACAATTTTAGTCAATGCAAATGAACTAAGGCTAGTATGATACAAGCCCCTACAAGTATCCTATCAACTACAATGCTCTATCCATATACAATTGTATCTTTTAGAACAGTTACGATCTGGTACGCAACCCCTCACTCCCAGTGACTCTGCCGCTTCTTCATGATTAGCTATGTGACCTTGAAAGCATGTTTTCTTGGGAGAGATGGTAATGCTCACAAAAAAATCCCCGTAAGAACCTAAAAGGAAAATTTTCAATTCCATATGAAGCTTCTGCTGTTCAGAGCCTCATATCCTATAACTGTAGTTAGTGGTCTGGTGTGCTATGAAAGTCCATAAACCAATATCCCTTTATGTATTTCCTTCCTATCAACATTTTAACCTTGTCACAATAATGTTGAACCTGAAATGTAGAGGCATTCCATTCCAAAATATATATATATGTAAAGATGGGTATGTTCCACAGGTGTCTCTGGTGTACAACAGCATACTCTGATGTTAAATAACATACCAGCCAACACAAAGGCTTGCTTAATCCTCCTGATGTTTTCTTCTTTCCTTGGGATGATTTTAAGCAATGTTCTCAACTGATTTTCAAACACCTCATTGCAGGCACCCTCAAGCTGCCTTCCCTCCAGCTGTTTTGGCCTCCAACTCCCAGAAGCCCTAGCTAGTTTGTTCAATGCTCAGAAATTCTGGGAGTTGGAGGCCAAAACAGCTGGAGGGAAGGCAGTTTGAGGATGCCTGCCTCATTGCGTGCCTTTGTTGTAGCCTGATCAGATTTTGAGTTTTCAGAAGATGAGGCTGGGGATGCTAGGAGAGTTTCAGAGGGTCCAAAGGGAAATATTTTGGAATCTTCTGGCATCAATGTTTTGGTTTCGCCTGGTGATTCCCAGCAAAACGGTGAAGGCCATTTTCATGGGAACCAACCAGGAGTATTGTCTGAGGAAACTGGAGCAGATGAATGTTTGTGAAGTCAGAGAGATTAGAGCTACATCAACAGGGCCGGCAATTCTCCTGCTGGCTCAGAGTTAAGGAGACCAGGTGCCAATGAAGTGATCTCATGGGAGGTATTTTTGGCTTTTAAAAATGGTTCATGTTGATACAATAGTTGTGAGAGCAACGCTGCTTTCAGGTACAGACCTCTCAGGAAGAGCCGTGGAATACATGTAATCAAGAGTTAAGCTGTTTCTGTGATCTGATTTTGTGAGACATAGTTTTAACTTCATGTACCTTGTCTTTGAATGACAAAGTTTTGCTTACCTTGGATTTATTTACTTGGACTTACATATCTCGCTGGATTGATCTAAGAGATTTTCTCCAAAGGGATTTTTGGAACCCTTGGCTTTGATGGACACAACATGTAAACTTTTATTCTTTTTTATATTTGCTTACTTTTCATATTTTCAACTTTTATTATACTCTGATTTTAATAAACCCTTACATTGGATTATCTGTGTGGTTTGTGGTGAATACAAGCTTCAGGGCTCTAGTGCAACAGTATAAGTCTAGAAAAGTGCTTAACGTACTCTGTATACACATGTACACGTCTACAAATTTTAGTCAAAAAATCAACATGCACATAAAAAAAATCCCCCAAAACCTGGGTCATCTTATCCATGAGTTAAAAGTAAGTCTTATGAAAAAAAAATAACCACTCTCTTATCTGAGTAGAGCAGAGAAAGGGAGAGCTTAGTCCATTCTGGGAAAACATAATAGCAGCGCTATTCTCCCCTACCCTATCAAAAACTTTCTGGGTTTTTTGAATGGCAGTGGACGGAGGCCGCTAAACCCCAAGGCAGCATGAATGTTGTCCCCCTTTGTGATACTTGATGTATCCACAGGTCATATCAAAATACATAATTTTGGTCCTAAAACTTGCCCTTGGAGTATACATGAGGTCAATTTATACATGCATATATAGAGTAAATGAAAAACACTCTCTCTTTTACAGACACATACAAAATCCAAGTTAATCTGAATGCTAGCACAAAGTTGTGGGCCACATTTTTGTACTTTGCTGGAATCCTTCATATGCCTGTTTACTGTGCCCCATTATAATCTTTACTTGTTAATCCTATTCACTCTCTTTTTTCACATATAACAGGTCTGGAATTGGCATGCCAATATCATAAACAATAGCAAAATTAAAAGCAAATAATATAAAGGAAATTCTTCTCTACCTCATTCCACAACTGTAAATCTTGTTCTCCTTGCAGGATGTGGGGTGCTGTTGGTGCACCTGGAAAAAAGAAGACATTTCCTGTTCTTAAATCCATAACATTTCCTCAGAGGTCATGGGGCTTGGGTTCACGGGTGTGGGGATAGAGGGATAAGAAATGTTAAGGTATAATTGTGCAGCCAATTCTGATTTTTCATATGTTTAATGAGCAATGACTGTACACCTTTCTGTAAACCTTTTGCATATTTTTCTTCTTTTCTTCTTTCTTTTGTTCATCCGTTTTGTTTATTATGTACACTATAAAACAATATAATTTTTTTAAAATCCATAAAATTTCCTATTGATAATATGATTTATCACACAGAGATATCTGTGAACAAACAGGAGAGTGAAAATAAATTATCATAAGCAAAAGTTTTGTTCTCTTATTTTACACATTAGCACCTACATCAAGCTCAAGATCACACATGTATCAATTTCAACAACACTGAACTTCAGTACCAATACTGAACATAATTCATTAAGGACCATACTGTGCTGTAAAATGAAAAAACTGCATAGGCTTATATTTTTCAATTGCCCCCATTTATTCCAGTGGTGTTTGTGCAAGAAAAAAATAAAATCGTGGGAAGATACTACCTCAACATATTGACTGAGAATTTTCACAATGTTTAATTAAATTTTGAGCAGAGAAAAGAATGAAAGAAACAATATTTCAAAATTGTAGCAATTACACTTAAGATACTTAGTTAAGAATACAAGTAGGTAAGTGAAGAGTGACCAGAATTGATGTAATATTAATGTATAATCTCAAATAGGGCAGGATTCTAAAATTTATTTTATATTCCTCAACAGTGGGATCAATTAGCAAGGAATACCAGAGCCCTTGAGATTGTGTAGGTGGCTGATTTATTTCTATTTAAGACATTCCATTTTTTAAAAGTTCAACGTATTATATGATTAGTAAACAGGCAAAATGCTCTCAAGGTCAGTGTAAAATCCTGCAACCGTCTATGGCCCCTTCCACACAGCTGAATAAAATTCCACATTATCAGCTTTGAACTGGAATATATGATAGTGTGGACTCAGATAATCCAGTTCAAAGCAGATATTGTGGGATTTTTTGCCTTGGTATTCTGGGTTATATGGCTGTGTGGAAGGGCCCTATGTTTGATCGAAGGCAATGAGAGCAGAGCAGTGGGTCACCAGAGTTGGAGAGAGACACAGAAAAATGGAAGAAAGAAGCTAGATCTGTTTTATAACAGCAATACACACAAGCCTTTTATGACTTCCAGAAGGGTTTTAATAACCTAGAAGAAATGGAGAAACTAATTAACTTAATTAAAGAAAAAACAATGGAAAAGTTCAAATAAGTATGGTGTTTACTAAGCAAAACTACAGGGGTAATTTTTAAGCTTCGGTAGCTAATTAAAATAAAATACAAGTGAAAGTTAAAATAGTTAAAAGGATACAAGTTAAATATTCATGTGTATCGATAAAACACAGAGGAGATAAATGTAGTGGATATTATATGACTTGCAAGTCACCGAAGTTCCCTTGATAGTCATGTAGTTATAGTACAGTATACTCTCAGTTAACAAGCATCCATAGGGATTAGTCGACGTCAAATAAATTTAATTTCTGGTTACTTAAGAGTCAATATTAAAAATAGCCCTAACTTATTCTATATTGTTGTTGTAGTTGTTATTTGTATCCACTTTATCTCTCTACATGAGAGACTCATAGCTGCTCTCTATTATATACCCAACACTATACCATGCTCTGCATTGGCTTGGTATAAATATTGAAATGCAGTCTTTAGATGCATATTAAGACCAATGAAGGCACATTGAATTTCGGGTCTCACACTTTTACTGTTTTACTGAATGATTAAAAAAACAGTTTTTTTTATTAAAAATATGTAACAAAATGTGAAAAAAACTGTTCCTGGTTTGTAAGTGTTATTTCCTGTTTAATTGGGCAGTACTTACTTTGAAAATAGTAGTTCTACTTCAGAAACTTCGTTTTTGTGGCTGCCACAAAGTAGGTTGAATTAGTTGAGACTTAAGGAGATATTTCCTTGAAAAACATAGGAAATATGTGCTGCAGGATGTCCGTCTAAAACAAAATTTGGGTAGTTTAATAAACTTTCCCCATGTTTTTATGATAGAACCAATTAGGAAACGACATTTATAACCCAGGAACAAAACTGGTGTTGCATCGTGTTATTGGGTTGATTGAGAGTTCTGGATTTTGTTTAATAGTTTCAGTTGTTAGGTTGGATATCTCTTTTGGTTGTTAGAGGTACCAGGCTGGATCTACTCTGCTCTATACCCCAGGTTCTGATCCCAGATTATCTGATTTGAACTGAATTCTATGAGTCTACACTGCCAAATATACAATCTGGGATAAGCAGATAATCTGGGATCAAATCCTGGGATATAGGGCAGTGTAGATCCACCCTCTGATCTTACAAGCAGTTTTGTAGTATTATCTAGATCATATCATAATTAACAATAATCATATCGTAATTAAAAATAATCACATCATAACTAAAATAATTATAATTAAATATAATTATATATAGAGGGAGGGGGGTGAGAGAGCAGCTCATTGGAAGGAAGGATATTAGAGGCAAAGATGAAGTATTTTGGCCACATCATGAGAAGACAGGAAAGCTTAGAGAATACAATTATGCTGGGGAAAATGGAAGGAAAAAGGAAGAGGGGCCGACCAAGGGCACGATGAATGGATGGATGGTACCCTTGAAGTGACTGGCTTGACCTTGAAAGAGCTGGGGGTGGTGATGGCCGACAGGGAGCTCTGGCGTGGGCTGGTCCATGAGGTCACGAAGAGTCGGAAGTGACTGAACGAATGAACAACAACTCTCTCTCTCTCTCTCTACACACACACACACACACACATATATGTATCATATCATAATTTTTAATTATGATAATTTTTAATTATATATATATATATATATATATATATAGAGAGAGAGAGAGAGAGAGAGAGAGAGAGAGAGAGAGAGATGATGTATTGTGATATGATCTAGGTCAGTGGTTCTCAATCTTCCTAATGCCATGACCACTTAATACATTTCCTCATCTTGTGGTGATCCCCAACCATAAAATTATTTTTGTTGCTACTTCATAACTGTAATTTTGCTACCATTATGAATCGTAATATAAATATCTGATATGCAGGATGTATTTTCATTCACTGGACCAAATTTTGCACAAATACCCAATACAACCAAATTTAAAAAATGGTGGGGTTGGGGGGATTGATTTTGTCATTTGGGAYTTGTAGTTGCTGGGACTTATAGTTCACCTACAATCAAAGAGCATTCTGAACTCCATCAACAATGGAATAGAACCAAACTTGGCACACAGAACTCCCATGACCAACAGAAAATACTGGAAGGTTTTGACAGGCATTGATCTTGAGTTTTGGAGTTGTAGTTCACCTACATCCAGAGAGCWCGGTGGACTCAAACAATGATGGATCCAGACCAACTTGGTATGAATACTCAAAGTTCCCAAATGTGAACACTGATGGAGTTTGGGGAAAATAGACCTTGACATTTGGGAGTTGTAGTTGCTGGGATTTATAGTTCACCTACAATCAAAGAGCATTCTGGACCCCACCAATGATAAAATTATGCCAAACTTCCCACACAGAGCCTCCATGACCAACAGAAAATACTTTGTTTTCTGATGGTCTTTGGTGACCCCTCTGACACCCCCTCGCGACCTCTCCAGGGGTCCCYACCCCCAGGTTGAGAAACAGTGATCTAGGTGATATTACAAACRTGCTTGTAGGATCTGAGGCTGGATCTACACTGCCCTATATTCCAGGATCTGATCCCAGATTACCTGTTTATCCCAGATTATCTGACAGTGTAGACTCATAGAATTCAGTTCAAATCAGATAATCTGGAATCAGAACCTAGGATATAGGACAGTGTAGATCCAGCCTCAGATCTTACAAGCAGTTTTGTAGTATTATCTAAATTATATCCTAATTAAGAATTATCATATCATAATTAATATAATTATAAGTGTGTGTGTGTGTGTGTGTGTGTGTGTATATATATATATATATATGAATTTTAATTATGATGTGATCTAGGTGATATTATAAAACTGCTTGTAGGATATGAGACTGGATCTACACTGCCTTATATTCCAGGATTTGATCCCAGATTACCTGTTTATCCCAGATTATCTGGAAGTGTAGAATTCAGTTCAAAACAGATAATCTGGAATCAGAACTTGGGATATAGGGCAGTGTAGATCCAGCCTGATACCTCTAACAACCAAAAGTAACATAAATATGCATATACATACAAATACATGCATATATATCTCAGAAGCAAGCAAGCCCAGGAGAAAAGATAAGGAGGGACACTTGGAGGGAGGAGTAGATCTCTAGACAGAAGGAGCGCCTGAAAGAGGGAGAAAGGCGTGGGGTGGCGAAGGGAGGGGAAGGTGGGGAGAGCCCTTACCTTTGCAGGAGCTGACCCCAAAGGCGAGGAGGAAGAGGAGCAGCCCCCAAGGGGTGCCCGACCCGAGGGGCATCTTCCTGGGGCGGCAAAGGCTTCTCCCGCCCTCCTCCGAGGCTGCCAAGGAAGGCTGGGGTCGCCAACAAGCGCCCGCCCGGCTTTGCATGGCTCCTGGGCGCCTCTCTGCCTTTGGCGCGCTTTTTGCCGCCGCTGCTTTCCTCCCGGCTTTGAAACTCCCAGCCAAACAGAGCGGACTTTTAAATCTCCCGGACAGGAGGAGGAGGAGGAGGAGGAAGAGGGCAGAGCTTGGCTCAGAGTCACGCTCTGACAGAAAGGCAACTGTCTAAACCTGGTCACGCACACACCCTCCAAAGAGTTTTCCTGTTTCTCAAATTATTTAGTCACCAGCTCTAGCTAGCAGTTGGTAGAGAAAGGGACTAAACGGCTTTCCCCCATTTTTTTACCACATGTGAAGGTTTTTCACTTCTCCCAACCCCTGCCTCAAAATATGAAGGCTTTCACGTATCTCAACATCTGTCACCAAATGTGAGGGCTTGCATTTATCCTACCCACACCTACCAAATATGAAGGCTTCTACTTATCCCAACCCTTCCAGCAAACAGGAGGGATTCTGTTTATCCCAAATACAGCTACCAAATATGACGGCTCCCATTTCTCCAAACCAAGCTACCAAATGTGAAGGCTTCCATTTAACCCGCAACCAAGCTACCTCATGTCTACCTCATTTATCCCAACCAAGCAAACAAATGTGAAGGCTTCCATTTAACCCAACCAAGTTACCTCAAGTGAAGGCTTCCGTTTATCCCAACCAAGCTACCAAATGTGAAGGCTTCCATTTAACACAAATACAGCTACCAAATATGAGGGCTTCAGTTTATCTCAACCAAGCTACTAAATGTGAAGGCTTCCATTTATTCCAAATACAGCTACCAAATATGTGGGCTTCCATTTCCCCCAACCAAGCAACCAAATGTGAAGGCTTCCATTTAACCCAACCAAGTTACTGCATGTGAGGGCTTCCATTTATCCCAACCAAGCAAACAAATGTGAAGGCTTCCATTTAACCCAACCAAGCTACCAAATGTGAGGGCTTCCATTTATCCCCAAATAGAGCTACCTCATGTGAGGGCTTCCGTTTATCCCAACCAAGCTACCAAATGGGAAGGCTTCCGTTTAACCCAACTACAGCTACCAAATATGAGGACCTCCATTTCTCCCACCCACAGCTACCAAATGGGAAGGCTTCCAATTAACCTAACCAAGCTACCTCATGTGAGGGCTTCCATTTATCACAACCAAGCAAACAAAGGTGAAGGCTTCCGTTTATCCCTACCAAGCTACCAAATGTGAAGGCTTCCATTTAACCAACCAAGTTACCTCATGTGAGGGCTTCCATTTCTCCAAACCAAGCAACCAAATTTGAAGGCTTCTATCTAACCCAACCAAGCTACCTCATGTGAGGGCTTCCATTTATCCCACACACAGTTACCAAATATGAGGGCTTCCATTTCTCCCAACCAAGCAACCAAATGGGAAGGCTTCCATTTAACCTAACTACAGCTACCAAATATGAGGAGTTCAATTTCTCCCACGCACAGCTACCAAATGTGAAGGCTTCCATTTAACCTAACTACAGCTACCAAATATAAGGGCTTCCATTTCTTCCACCCACAACTACTAGTGGCACAGTCGGTTAAACCGCCGAGCTGCTGAGCTTGTTGACTGAAAGGTTGCAGGTTCAATTCTGGGGAGCGGCATGAGCTTCCGCTGTCAGCCCCTGCTTCTGCCAACCTAGCAGTTCGTAAACATGCAAATGTGGTGGGAAGGTAATGGCGTTCCATGCAGTCATGCCAGCCACATTACCTTGGAGATGTCTATGGGCAACGCCAGCTCTTCGGCTTAAAAATGGAGATGAGCACCAAACCCCAGAGTCGGACATGACTGGACTTAACGTCAGGGGAAAACCTTTACCTTTACCCTCCTTACCTACAGCTACCAAATATGAGGGCTTCCATTTCTTCCACCCACAGTTACCAAATATGAGGACTTCCATTTCTTCCACCCACAGCTACCAAATGTGAAGGCTTCAATTTAACCCAACTACAGCTACCAAATATGAAGACTTCAATTTCTTCCACCCACAACTACCAAATATGAGGGCTTCCATTTCTCCAACTCACAGCTACCAAATGTGAAGGCTTCCAGTTAACCCAACTACAGCTAGCAAATATGAGGGCTTCCATTTCTCCCAAGAATATCTACCAAATGTGAGGGCCTTTATTTATCCCAAATACAGCTGCCATTTATGAGGGCTTCCATTTATCCCAAATACAGCTACCAAATGTGAGGGCTTACATTTACCCCAGGCACATGTACCAAATATGCAAGCTTCCATTTATCCTGAGCAGAGTTACCCAATATGAGGGCTTCCACTTCTCCCAAACATTGCCACCAAATGTGAAGGCTTCCATTTATCCCAACTACAGCTTATCAAATATGAGGGCTTCCACTTCTCCCATACAGTGCCATCAAGCATTAGGGCTTTCACTTCTCCTTGCATTTGCCACCAAATGTGAGGATCTCCTTCTGTCCCATCTGAGGAGACTTCCTAGAAGCCCTTGTGGTTCTGTGTGAGATTTTATTTATCTTCTTTTTCCACTGGACACCTCGCTCTTGATTCTGAACTGCTACTATGGACACCTTGTCTGAACTTGGCTTTCCAAGAGACCACAGCATTTCATGCAAAAAGATGTATTTATCAAAAATAGAACATGAAATTAGATTTGTTTTTAATGCATCAAAATGACATATTTCCCTCTCATACACATCTCCTTGCTAAGTCTGACTCTGAGTCTTAACTCTCTTCTATCTCAGATCCTAACTCTTATAGCCATTCAAATTCTGCAGTTCCACCAACTAATTTCTTATACTGACAGGCCCAATTCTCACCAGACGAACAGCCATATGCATCTTCACTTTTACAATCCCCTCAGAAAACCAGCTGATCACAAGTCCCAATAATCCATGCCTGACAGATCACCAACTTATTCCATCTACAACATGAATACACAACCATGTTTTACATTAATGCAGCAAACAAATGCAATAACATCCCCACAAAAATAATTCAGAACATCACAGGGTTAACACCTGAGTCTGGAAGTTAACCATCCCCAAAACTGGATTGAAGGTTACAATATCATGAAAAGAGTTGTTTGTCCCATCAGTCTTTTGTGACTAGCACATGTGTGTAGCAAGCATAGAACAAGGTGATGAAATTCTCAGGTGGCAGAACAGACCTTGGTTCTTCAATACCTATTCAGTGCTCTAAGAGAGAATGTGCACTAGAAAGAATGATTCTATTTCTCTCTCAGTTCAATTATGTGAAAGTTTTCTACTTGCAAGGAGATTTCTACTTTCCAAGGGATGAACATTTTTTAAATGTCATTCTGAAATGATCCAGGATTATTGCATTATTCAATGCTATGTGTAGACCAGACTTCCCAAGCAGAAGGTGGTAGAGATGCTCCGGATGAGAAATTTCTTCAATTTCTATATTCATTTGCTTCAGAGATTTCCTCTTTCATTGTCCCTTACCAGCATAGCCAATTGTAAAAAAAGCTAAGAGCTGCAGTCTAGCAACATGTGGAGGGACACCATAGATCACCCTGATTTACTGTATTCCTATTCATAAAGACTCCTGTGTGCACATTCTAGCCTCCCCATACCAGTTGTTCTCCAGGTTTGTTGGACTAGAGAGGTGGTTTCCAACCTTTGGTCATCCAGTTATTCTGTACTTCAACTCCCAGAAATCCCAGCCAGTTTACCAGCTGTTAGGAATTGTGGGAGCTGAAGTCCAAAATACCTGGAGGTCCAAAGGTTAGGAACCACTGGACTAGAACTTCCCTAAATTTGCAGTCACCTAAGGAGATGTCTGGGGGTTTATGTAAATTGGTTCAAGACACATATGAAGAAGATCCTCAAACAATCCGTTCCTGTTATGGATATAAAAATTCTGGTGTTGTATGCAAATACCTATATGTTTCTACAAGGGAGAACAGATTGGACATTAGGATTTTAATAGGGAAAAGACAGGAAGAAACACTGAAATCTCTTGCACAACTCTGCAGTCCTTCCTATAATTCTCTCTGGCCCATTTTATAGCTACTATTAAACTTTTTCTTTAAAGAAATCTTTTGATGTCACACAGTCTAGCCCTAAGCAAGTTGTGGGTGTAGGTTGCATTGAACATAGTGAGACATACTTCTAAAAATGGGCATAAGTTTGGGATGCATGAAAAGTGTCTTTGGGGAAGGTTTGCAAAGAGTAAGCACCCGAAATTACATGTAAAAAGTTATATATTCACACGCACACCCCAACATTGGATCCTAACTTATGAAAGGAATTGAAAAGCATCATAGCAAAAGATAGTTCCTGAGATCCCCATCAGTCATTACTAATCACAGTAGACATTAAAGGCCTGGAGAAACCAGTCTGAGCTAGTTGGACTCAGTGTCAGTTTTACAGAATTGGCCCAAGTAAGGCAGTTGGTGTGAGCCCAGATTTTTGCAGTAACCAAGTCAGAGACTATGAGAGGCTACCGGGTTGGACTTAAGCAATGAACCAGAGAATCCCAAATCTAAAACATCAGAGATTCCCAAATCTGAAATTATTATGGCTCCTAAGCAATCGTAGCATTAAAATCCATTTCCATTGAGAGGCAAGCATGCCACTAAGCCAGAGTGACAACATGAGATGGCAAAGTTGTAGATGTCAGGCCGAAATACTTACTTTAAGGCTTTGCATTTTATGTTTACCTGCTGAAAGGTGTCAAATTCAATGAATATGAAAGGACTTCTGTTGATACAGTTGCATTCACTAGAGACACTGTCCAAGGTCCTGAAAAGCTTGCTGCTCTGTTTTTGGGAAGCCGATTTCAGGGAAGACAACCAGCATGATGTAGTCATTTGTGTATTAAACAAGGATACTGGGAGATCAGATTTCAAATCCTTGTTCAACCATGGGAACCTACTGGGTGATCTTGGGCAGGTCACACTCTCTGAGCCTCAGAGGAAGGCAAACCCCTCTGAACAAATCTTACCAAGAAAAACATCATGATAGGTTCACTTAACGGTTGCCATAAGTCAGAAATTACTTGAAGGAACACAACAATAGCAGCAATTTCAAAGGGAAAAAAAACCCTGTCAAAACCACCTTGGAGTATGC